AGTCCCCACATCAGGCCAGAATTTTAAAGACCTGATTTCATCACTGCAGGAAACTCCAGCCCTGGGTTAAGCTGGGGCTACCAAGATGAACAGTACCACCCTCAAGAAGTTAAGAGTATGGCGGGAAAGATACTGGTTTATTCCTCAGTCTGGGATAACATTTTTAGTCAGAGTAAAGGGAAACCATCCAACTCCTAAGATGGTTAGAAGCTTTAAGGAACCAATCATTATTTTTGAGGGAAGAAGGTAATTTTAAACATGAAGGATACTTTGAGGATGGCTCGCTGGTTCCCCCTGGTGGAGATTAATAGCAAGGACATCACACAGCTTTTCAGCGGTAAGGAGGGGCTCAGCAGGTCACTGAGGTATCTGGTGTTTCAGTAGCCAAGGGCAAGTGGTCAGCTCAGTTTCCAGAGCCCAGGAAAGGCCTCATAGAGAACCAGCCTTTGCACTGGGCCTGGGGAAGAGCAGGGATTCACCAGAAGGACAAAAGGAAAGAAAAGTCTAGGTAGAGGGATGTGAGTACCAAAATGTGAAACCCAAGCCTCATCTAGAAAACTCCAAGTAATTCATGGATTTAGTGAATAGTAAGGCTTCAAGTAGGAGCCAAACCCTGAGATGTTCTGCAGTCCATGAGGAGGACTGTGTTCTTTAAGCCACTGGTAAGTTTTCAGGGATTGCTTGAGCTCAGGAGTTCGAGACCAGCAGGAGCAACATGACAGAACTCCATCTCTACAAAAAATATGAAAAAAATTGCCAGGCATGGTGGCACGTGCCTGCAGTCCTAGCTACCCAGGAGGCTGAGTAGGGGATCGCTTGAGACCAGGAGGTAGAGGCTGCAGTGAGCCAAGATTGTGCCACTACACTCCAGCCTGGGCAACAGATCAAGACCTCATCTCAAAAAAAGACATCTGTATTGAAGTAATATTATGTGCCAGACAACAACCTTCACCCTGGGAATCAAATAGTGCGCAGAAACAAGTATGATCCCTGCCCTTGTCCAGCTTACAGTCTACTGGAAGAGAGAGGCATTCATTCAAAAAACAAATTGTGGCCATGCCTGTTATCCCGTCATTTTGGGAGGCTGAGGCGGGCGGATCACCTGAGGTCAGGAGTTCAAGACCAGCCTGGCCAACATGATGAAACCCCATCTCTACTAAAAACACAAAAATTAGCCAGGTGTGGTGGCGCACATCCCAGCTACTTGGGAGGCTGAGGCAGGAGAATCGCCTGAACCTGGGAAGTGGAGGTTGCAGTGAGCCAAGATTGCACTACTGTACTCCAGCCTGGGCAACAGAGTTAGACTCTGTCTCAACAAATAAACAAACAAACAAACAAAAAATCGCTCCCCAAGAAAGGTAAGCATTAAAATGTTTTAAGTGGCACCATTGCCTGCAGGAACAGCATGGGTGAAGTTCAGGGTTAAGGATCAGAGCTGAAGTCTGAATTGGGTAAAAATGGAGCACTTGGTCATTGCTTTCAAGGTCCTGGTGGCCCTAAGGCTAGCGTCTGAGACAGGACATGGAAGACTGAGTCCTGGCAGCCTGGGAAGAGCCCAGAGAGAGGCCTACGTGGAGGCAGGAGGATCAGTGAGATCAGCGAAGGTTCAAACCACAGAGAGGTGTGGAATGAAAGTGCTGGCTGACCAAGCATGGGGTCGCTGCCTGTAATCCCAGCACTTTAGGGGGCCGAAGCAAGATGACTGCTTGAACCCAGGATTTTGAGACCAGCTTGGGCAACGACATGACGAAACCCTGTCTCTACAAAAATTAGCCAGGTGCATGCGGTGGTGTGCACCTGTGGTCCCAGCTACTGGGGAGGCTTAAGTGGGATAATTGCTTGAGGCCAGAAGGTCAAGGCTGCAGTGAACTATGATCACACCACTGAACTCCAACCCAGGTGGCAAAGCAAGACCCTGTTCCAAAAAAACTTAAAAAGTGGCAGGCCAGGCACAGTGGCTCACACCTGTAATCCCAGCAATTTGAGAGGTCAAGGTAGGTGGGTCACCTGAAGTCAGGAGTTTGAGACCGGCCTGGCCAACATAGTAAAACCCCGCCTCTACTAAAAATATGAAAAAAATTATCTGGCTGTGGTGGCACATGCCTGTAGTCCCAGCCACTCAGGAGGCTAAGGCAAGAGAATCACTTGAACCCAGGAAGCGGAGGTTGCAGTGAGCCAAGATCACGCCACTGCACTCCAGCCTGGGAGACAGAGAGAGACTCCATTTCAAAAAGAAAGAAAGAAAAAAGAAAGTGGCCATTACCAGCATCTGCTAAGTGATATGGAATAGAACAGGAATGAATTTACAACATCTTCTTTCATCATGCGGAAGCAGGAGTATTTTTCATGAAACATGCTACAATTGGGTATATGTAGCTACATGTGTGTGCATGCATGTGTACCTATATGTGTGGGGGGGGGGTCACAATATAAATTACATTTGTACCATGCATCTGGATCAAAAAAATTTTGAAAAAGATCAGCGTACCAGACCTCTCATGGTCTCACACAGCCCACGATGTCACAAAAACACAACTATCCTGCCCCCTCATGAGGCTGACATAAATGCCTCTCTCAAGCAAACTGGAATCTCACTTTACTTTTAAGGATGCTGCCAAACTCAGCAGTAACTCTGTGATGAGACAGTGTGAATTCTGAAATTCACATTCACCTACCTCGGCCTCCCAAAGTGCTGGGATTCCAGGCATAAGCCACTGCGTCCAGCACATCTAAATGATTTTTAAGTGCACAATTCAGTGGCGTTAAGGACATTCCCATTGTGGTGCAGTCATCACCACCATATGTCTGCAGAACTTTTCATTTTGCAAAACAGAAACTCTGTATCCATTAAACACATTAACTCCCCATTCCCCTAGCCTCAAATGCTCACTGTCAGGCACAGTCGGGGCATACATGGGTACTAACTTTCTGGAAGACAATATGACAATGTTCGCTATAATTCTTAAAATATGTAATTTTTTTTTTTTGAGACAGGGTCTTGCTCTGTCACCCAGGCTGGAGTGCAGTGGTGTGATCTCAGCTCACTGCCACCTCCACCTCCCAGGTTCAAGTGATTCTCCTGCCTCAGCCTCCCAAGTAGCTGGGATTACAGGCATGGGCCACCACATCTAGCTAATTTTTTTGTATTTTCAGTAGAGATGGGTTTTCACTATATTGGCCAGGCTGGTCTTGAACTCCTGACCTCAGGTGCTCTACCCACCTTGGCCTCCCAAAGTGCTGGGATTACAGGTGTGAGACACTGCATCCAGCCAAAATATGTAAATATTTTGCTGCAACACCATCTCTATGAATTCACTCTAAAGGAATAGACACAGGGGTCCCCAAAAATAACACTCAGGGGTATTCACAGCAGCTTTACTTATGATAAGAAAAATATGGATCTAACCCAAATTTCTAAAACTAGGAGATTGGTTGAATAGATGGTGTTAGTACTCGGGCATTAAAAATAAGAAGTGAATGCATTTATTGACAAAGGAAGATGTTTAGGATGTAACACTGTAATTTGGCGCAATTTTTTTTCTTTTTTTTTTTTTTTTTT